CCCTGGTCCTTCTCAAACCTATCCAACTCCATCCCTTTCATCCACTCTCACCCCATCCCATCCCTGGTCCTTCTCTCACCCCATCCCATCCCTTTCCATCCCTTCCCACTTCAAGCCAAGGTGCCTCATCCTCATCAGCCAATGCCCAGAAGGCATTGTGCAGAAGCATGGTGGCTTATGAGACTACCTCACCTGCTCACCAGCTGATACCCATTCTGAGCCCAAATGTTACCAGCCAATTCCTCTCATCCCTTGCTTCCTATGACCATGAGCTCATTGCTTCCTATATGGACTCTGGTATCATCCTTCATGGTCCTATGGTCTCATAGCACATTATTCAGGGGAGGTGGACCTCATGAGTGGTATCTCATACCTTCTTGACCTTGTTGACCTACCATGTGGGGGGGGGGGGTTATTAATCAGAGGTTGACATTATACCTTGAGTCTCCAATGACCCTTTTAAATTTGCCTTTCCAAGAAAAAGAGGTTTTTGAAAGAAAGCACTCTTTTTTGCATATGTCACGAAATGTTCCTTTTTTGTTTGTGCCCTGGCAGATCCTCCTTAGACAGTGCCCTGAGACCTTTTTTCGGCGTCCAAAACGCGTCTTTTTGCGTCCAAAAGGCATCTTTAAGCGTCCGTGCCGGACGCGTCCGGATGAAGATTCACTCTGCACCTTTTTTTGAGTCCTCATCTCTAAAAACGCGTTTTTCGAGCAAAAACGCAAAAATATTAGACCAAAAACAAAAACGCAGAAAAAAAAGGTCTTTGGAGACTCAAGGTATATATATCCATATATTATCAATATTTATCCATTATTCCGATATGTGTGTGTGTGTCTTTTCAAACGGACCAACGACGAGCACTTCGCCAGCAAGGCCTCGCTGGCGCGTGGCCTTTGGCCCTGCGGGCGTGGACCCAGCGATGCGCACGTCTCAGCTCTCCGTGGAGAATCTGCTGGCGCTGAGTGACGTGCTGGATGAGCTGAGTGGAAGAGCCAAAACGGAAGTGGCCGCCAGTTCGGGGAACGTGGACGACTCACCGATGGGTGTGATTTGCAGGTGTATACAGTGGTTGACCTGCAGATCTCATGCAAGAACATGGTTTTTGTAGGTGTATATCCTGTATTGAAATAGATCCAGAGGTTGATATCAAGATGTTTCGACTTTTTTGCCTCCATGTGAACTATACAAAATGAACTCGTTGTTGTTGCCCTACCTTATAGGCTTATATTATAGGATATTATAGGCGTATAACATACATAGCAATTTCATGTCATTTCATGTCACCACGATCTCGTGAATCTGCAGTGGTCGTCTTCTTCAATGGATCTGCGGGAAAGGGACCGTCAGACCTTTGGAGGTCTCCTCCTACATCACACCGCCTCACCAGCTGCGCGTGAAGATGCGCCCCGGCAAGAGCCACGACGCCCTCTTCGCGGAGGAGGAGCGGTGGCCGGGTTATGGCGTCCGAGTCGAAGGGAGCGGCGCCAGTCGCCCGTGTGGAGCAGTTGGGACAAATATAAGCAAAGACATAGGAACAAGGATGCATGGTCGAAAGGACACATAGATTTTAATATGATTCAATGGGTGAGAGTATAGATGCAGCTGAAATGCATACATTTACACAGTGGACCTTTGAGTGTCCTCGAGACTTTCCCTTTTCATCAAAACCTCTTCACCTGCAGGGCACTAAAGCACGGCGCCGGGCACGGGGGTCCGGGACCTCAGATGAAGCAGCATAAATTTGGCTATATAGGTCGATGTGGGGTTTTCTTTCACAAAATTGAGATTTGTTTTTGTCCCAAGTAGAGTCAATTAGAGATTCTTGGGAGTCTCGCACCCATGGCAGGTGATGCAAAGTCCATGCAAAGTCTATCTTGTGAATCAGTCTAGTACATCCTCCAGTCAAAGATGTACTGTTTCAGGTCCAGGATCATGAGTGCCTTGCAGTCGGGAGGCTGAGAGATCCATGGATCCATCAGACCGGCAGGTCATCGGCACGTTGAAGGATAGATTCCCGAGCGAAAAGCTGTGAAATAAGATGTACAAGAAACCCAAAGGGGTCGCACCATAAATCTGAAGACGGTTCTTTTTTTTGCAGAATGCCAGAATGGATTTGAGGAGAGGGGGAATGGTCTCGTGTGCAAAAGATGTTTGGAAGGTGCAGATCATCGTTTGCAGATGGACTGATTTAGTACTTCCCAGACGCTCCAAACAGCCCTTATAGTCCCTCAAAACCTAGGGATTTGAGACGCCACACCCCTCCATATGAGGGTCCGACCCCTCCATATTCCAGAGTTGGTCCATCGAAACCGGGATTTGAGACACCAGACCCTCAGTCCCCTATTGAGGGTCCAGGGTCGCATTTGGGTTATTGCTATTTTAAAGCTCGGCCTCCTGCAATTGCCCATCATCATCCACTGCCATCCGAGGGTCCAGGATACCACTCCCAGGACTTAAAGACGCGATCAAAGGGATTTCGATCAGTCCAGGAACAGATCCTCCGCTTCCAGCCTTTTCGAAGGATGTGTTTTATGGATGTTGCAGTGCATCACTATGGATAGCTTAAGTTCCCTACAAAATATCCACTGAACCGGATGGAGCCAAAACGGCCGTCCCATCCTCCGATTTGTTTGGAGAGGCGAATGATTGGGGTTTAATGCGGGTGGCACAGCCCGGTCGGGCCCAGGTCATTGCTTGGAAGCTCTCAGGCTCATGGGTTTCCACTTTTCTTATTGCAGAGGTAGGAGCCAAATGAAGAGGTGCAATGACTTCCTCTCAGTTTTTTGGACCAGCCGGGCAGTTGACGCCGGACTGGGGGATCAGAGACTTTCCTGGAAGGGCGAGCGACCGGAGGGTGCCACAACTTCGTGCCCCTATCAACATATCAACAAGAGAAACATAGAGAAAGTGAACGTGTTTTCGAAATCCGCTCAAGAGCAAAAGAGCAACCTAAGAGATAACAAGATGTTTCTTCAGAATGCTCAACTGTTCAGCCCCTTCGCGGTCAAGACCGGAAAGAACGGTCGTCGGTCGCCAGACTCGCACAGACTTCGGCCGACGGCACCACGGGTCCACGACGGTTTCAGGCGGATCAAGCTTCGGTGGTGAAGAAGGCGCTGTGAAGTGGGGACAGTCAGACGCTGGAGCGGCTCCGAAGCGACCTGGCTGACTGCCAGTACTGTATTGGCTTCAGGAGAGCTGAAAAGGGGTTCAAATGTTTGACCAGGATGAAAGGAAGAGTTGTCCAGGATGTTTTAAGAACTTTGCAGGTTTGTTTTCTATAGCAAATTTATGGCTGGAACAGTGCATCAAGACTTGTTGCAGAGTCACCGTCTCATTTTTGCCGAGGCATTTTGTTCTTCCAAAGTAAGTGTGTGTATTATACAAACATATATGTGTATATATATATAACCTCTATAGCATATTCAGGTATTTACTCGATGGGGATAACGACAGCCTTTTGTGCAAAAAACAGTTCAACCAGTTGACTGAGCGGCAAGACAAGTTTATTTGAAATATATGAATCTCACAGGGGCTTAGTTCAAAACTTAAAGAAGTGCGCTGCCTGACATCTCCCCTACCCCAACCCATCAGTGAAACTGTGGCAGCTGCACTGGGAGGCTGCCGATGGAGAGCTTCTCGGGCTTAGTGATGCGATGGAGAATTTGTATTTTGCAGCTGTGCTGTTGAGTCTTGCTACTTGCATAGTTTGCGATGCCTGCAGCTGTTGAAGCAAGGAGTTTTGTGTGTTCTGTTTGTTCTGGGTTGGTTATTTCGTGAGGGATTCAGCCAGCTCTATCGGGCTGCAAGCCCCACCGAAGGCACGGAAGACTATGCGACTATTACTATGCATGAACAAAAACACCTCCAAAGGAAGGTTCAAACACAATAACAGAGTTATTTCATGTATATAGATAGATCTATCTTCCAGCAGTCACAAGACGGGGTGCCGAACTTGGAGGATAGGGGTTCCCAGAACATCCACTCACTGGATGGGACTAAAACCCACCCCGTCTTGTGACTCCTGGTTGAAGCGATTCCTGTCCAAATAGAGGGTGGTGTGTTCAGGAAGGTCTTTCTGCGGCAAACCGTGCGAGTCAATGGACCATTGGTTGGGGCGTTGGGCTGGTTTGCCACTTGGGGTGGCGTTCAAGTCGGTAAAACTCATTGATACCCTGACTCACTCACATAGAAGTGGAACATGGACCAACATGGACCCTTGGATGACTATATGTTCCTTTATGAATAGACGAGTGGTTTCCACTTCCGTGTGATGTGTTTGTCGGAGTGTATGTGATAGGTATGTCTAAGTTATTTTTTCATTTGAGGCTCCCAGAGCTTGTTGTAGCTGCGAAGACCGTTTTTGAGCGTATCCGATGGCCCATCGTGATGAGGTTTGCATCATCAGTTTTGTTTCACTTGTTGTTCCATTGGATATATGGGCTCAAGACTTCAACACTCTGTTTAGCCTCTTAGCCTTACAAACCCGACTCGCCTTTTTCAATAGATCTGGATGAGGAATGACCTTGAGGACTCGGCCTACTGACCCACCCACGAACCTATAGTTTGTTAAGGTGATGGTTTCGGGCGGTTTTCGTTTAGTGGTTCATAACGGGTGACAGGAAATTGTTTCTCAAGTTACTCACATTTGTTTAAAGATGCTTCAACCGTGCAATCACTTGGGACAAAATAACACAAACTCCCCCGTGGTGTAAACCAAAACATCCTCTTTTGGCCATCTTTGGGTTTCTCGACTCTGTATGGTCAAACCCAAAAATAATTCTCTTGGGTGACTGGAGGTGTGCGCAATTGAATAGATTTGATGTGTAAGATCCACATCTCTTCCTCTTGAGGTGTGCGCATTCCCAGATGTTCGCAATCTCTTGTAAGGGGAATGGGGTTCACCCCCTGGGAACGCTGAACCGCTGGACCCGCCGCAGCTCCCAGCTGAGGGAGACCGTCCACATTTTCAGTGCTGGGCGTCTCAGTGGTGCGTCCAACTGCCCACCAGACGATGGTCCGTTGGGATGGCCAGTGGCCTTCTTTGGACTTTGCGGTGAGTGCATAAGAAAGTGGAAGTATATAGATCGTACCTTCCAGTTACAGTGGATAGTACTTAGTACTGGTGCTTTATATGGACTCCAGATCTCAAGGTCATCTTGGGGGCCCCGTGCCATCGAACCTCTGAAATCATTGTATCTCCAACAGGTCACCGGCTGGCATTTTTTGAAGCGGACCTGTAGGATCCTGCGGGGATTGTGTAATCACCAACAAGAAATAACAAAGCTAATTGGAAGGTTCAAGCAAAGGAAACCATGAGTTGTTTTGTTGTTTGTTTCGCGAATGCCATCTTATTATCTAAGAAGCAACGGGTTGTGCTGCTGCAGTACTACCTGTCAACTGCTTGGTTCATTCAAGAAGACTTTAGAGATCATTCGAAGCCTTTGTGGCCACTTAATAGCTTTCAGGTAGTCTCAGAATCACGCGGTAGCTTACGTTATATGTCATATATAAGTTATATATATATAACAAGAAGCGAACCGTTCGTCATCAAAACCAAAGCAAGCAGTAAGTAGTCAACTCATCCAGATCGGTCCCCAGATCTCCGTCGAAGAACAACGGTCGTCCCCGTCAAGCCGTCGACGCCTCTGTCTTCGCCGTCGACGCCTCGTTCCGGACTCCAGGTGGCCTCGGGGCATCTCTACGAGAAACTCTTGGGCATCATGATCCTCTCAGTGTGGCTGCTGAGTGATCGAAACCGCCTTTCAAGGAGGAAGACATCGGAAGGGAGTCACTGGAGGGGAAGGCGTTCTTTGGTTTGGTGGTGTGGGGGGGGTCGGTTTCTACATGCCTACAAGCAGAGAGAAAAAGCTATGGCACCAAGGTAAATGAACAACACAATTATATTCTGTTGTTTGGGACTGCTTTGTGTGTGTGTTTGTTTCTTTAAGAGCTCTCCCCTCCCCTACACCAAAATCATATTGGTTTGGGGCTGCTCCCTTTAGACATGCTCCATATGACCCCAGATTCAAGTGTTTATATGTAGGCCTTGGCTCACTTGAAGCACTGGCTGAGCAGGGATCCCTCCTACAGCAAGATCCAAGAGCGTGCTGTGACATGAGGCGCAGGTTTGCTTGCTCCAACATCCTTCCAGGTCTCCTTCAGAACTCCCTGAACATCAAATGGTTTGTTTAGACGTGTTTCGTCTTCATCCAAGAACAAGCTTGGACTCGTCGGACATGTCCCGCGGTGGCTGAGGTGAGGAACAATACTCAGAATCCTCTTCACTTTTGGTTCATCGACAACTTCCTCTCGCCCAAGTTCAAGGCAATGAGAGGAGACAGGTTTTTCAGCGGAGTTGAAAGCTGCAGGTCACGTCTAGATTTTTGTTACTCGGGCGATTGTAAAATACTGAAGTTAGGACCTGTTCATTCATGTGGGATCCAGAAGCAGGGGCTTTGGATTGAATGTACAGAAATGTGTCAGAGGGCCATCAAAGCAACGGATATGTCGTCGCCGACAACAAAGATTCCTCTTCCAGGTACGTAAGTGTAGCTCTAGGCTCTAGCCGCTTTTGTGCGATGTTCAATTTGATTTCAAGTTGTCAAGCGGTGTATAGAATTTCGAGGTTGGGTGGATTCTATATAAAGCAGTATCCATGTTCTTCAAGTCCCAATCTCCTCAAAACCATGTTTCGAGATGTTGTTTTTTGTGCTTGCTCCACGCAGCTGTGCTGCCTTTTTGATCTTTTTGCCTCTCAGCTGCAACCGTTTCATCCGTGAGGCCTTTATTCCCTGGCTGGCCGCAAGGCAGAGTCAGTCAAGGGCAAAGCTATTGAGTTTGACACAGTTGGGCTATGGGGCTATTGACATGGTTTACCCTTGGGCCAAGAAGAAGAGGGCTTCCGAAGAACAAAAATTTTGCTGGGTTGTATCTTCAGAAGCTGATGTGGATGCTGATGTGGATGCTCAAAGGGCAAAACTTCCAGAGTCGCAGGTACGACTTCAAGTACGACTTCGTGACCTACAAATGGCCATCATGGCTAAACCCACAAAGTCTGGAGCGAAGTGGGCGGATCGGCTTCCAATCCACGGAAGGGAGTCTTCGCACCGTTTCACACCTGTTGTTTTGCTGGGTTAGGGCTGGCCCGATTGATACGAAATCTGTTATACGGAGACCCACAATCATAACGCCAGCAACCTAGCTACAATACAACTTCCCTTAGTGGCACTACTTGCTCAGGCTTTGGAAGTTATGTTCCTCCATGTGGGGAATAGGTGGAGACTCTCTCAGTATTTGGCTGCAAGTATTTGGTTGGCCAAACCATCAGCGTCCGAATGGCGAGATGCTTCGCAACCCGTGGCCCCATGGGGTGCGCCAGCTTTGGCCGCCTCAGGCGAAAAGCAGCGCTTGATTTGGGCATACAAGATCCTTTTCTTAGATGCGCTGTGCTCGGTGGTCGCAAAGTGAGTCTCTCCTGAGTCTCTTTTGAACTCCTTAAAATTGAGAATTGCAACATACCAGGACCTCCCAGTGGTACGTCAGTGTTGCAGGTGGTGACCTGTGGAAGATAAAACATTTATTGTAGATCGAGTGTCCTCCAGCAACTCAGGTAGTAACTCTGGTTTCTCAAGAGCTTGAGGCTGTCAGAAGACAAAGGCATGCATGGCAGAGAGACTTATTGCAACACATTTGCCAAGTCTAATAGCCTATCGGCCATGCTCGACTACAAATTATAGGATTCTTGTGCAAGTCAATTGGTTGGACATGGTTGGAAGACCCAAACTTGTCATGCCAGAGGCAGAACGCAGATGGCACGGCATGATTTGTTTTCAACCTGACTTGTTTCCACTCATACCTTGGAACCAATCCCATGATTTGCCACGAGCCATCCCTTCAGTGAGTTGAGTGGCCGAGACTTGAGGTGCTTTTTCCGCAGGATGTGCCGAAGATCATTTTCATAGATGCTGATCAGGCGGGCAATATGTGACTGTTCTCTTTTCTCTGAAAACACTAGAGCCCTTCAGTGAGCCCCTCCAGGGAGTATCCAGGGAGCCCTGCAGGGATCTCCAGGGAGTATTCAGGGAGCCCTCCCGGGTGTGATTTCAGGCAGCATCGATTCCGGGGGGATCCTCCGTCATAGAAGAACATAGGCTCCTACTCACTTGATCCTGAGTCAAGTAGATGACATATACTGATATGACAATAAGCATTGAATGACATACATGACATGTATGTCAGTGCCCTTGAAGCTTTTGGGATGGGACTAGACATATCAACTGAAGCTTTGATCATTTTACTGTATAGATTTGAACTGGTTCTCATCCATCCAACCACCGCACGTGTCTCGAAGCGTTCGGGCGCCTTCTTCCTGCCATGTGCGGGACTCATCCTGGAGGTCGTCCGGGCAGATGTGAAAGAGCTCTGGGAACTGGATCTCAAGGCGGCGTTCTGTTAACTTGCTTGCTGTAGCAATTGTATTGGCTAGGGCTGAGGCGCGTGATGTCCATTGAACTCTCATGTAATTACGTGATTTCCATCATTTGTGTTTCTTTTGGTCTTTCCAGAGAACGTCGACTCGTTTCGGTGTCGCTCCGACCGGGCGGGCCGCTTGTTCGCACGTTTTCCCCCGGACCAGCTCCATGGTCGGGTCCAGATGTCAGGTTGTTGTTGCTTGGATGCCCAATGATGCCCATGTTGCTTGGAATTCATCTGTTCTCTTGGAATTCATGGGTTCTTAGTATGATTCTTGAGGGCGATATCTATGAACAGTTGATTGTGGCCCAAACACTGATCCGGGAGTGACGAGCATACATGAACATACATTGATAGCTTGAAACATGACAACGCCAGAAAAGAAAAATATAGGACAAATATAACATATACTGTAAACAAACAAGCAACACGCATTTTACTTCAACATCACCAGGCTGGCTTGCCGAACCTCAGCAGGAGCAATCATGCAAAAAAGAAGAACCACATGCTCCATGTAGGTTCAATTCCTATTTGCACCAAAACCATCCAGATGTATGCCAGCGTTCCATGTCAAGGAGTGTTTGGCATTTGGACCAGCGCTGTTGGCCTGCTGAGCACAGAGCACACAGCACCCGCCCTTCTTCAGAAGAGTCAAACGTTTTCCGGTCAATGGTATGAAGCTTATATAGATATTTCACAACTTTTCGGAGTTGCTTCTTTTTGACGACTTGAAGCCACACACTGAAATCTCTGCCTTGCCCCCGCTCCACACGTCTGTGTTTTGTGGCTGAGACGCCAAGCTGATTGTCTGATTGTCTGGCTGTTCCGCCAACTCCCCGCAAACCCCCTTCTCTAAAACCGGCAACCACCCCGCTTTCACCACCCTCGCTTTCGGATGTCCCGGCCGCCGGAGACGAACGTCGCTCCTTCCGCCGCAAGACGCGGAAGCGCGCTTCCGCGGACGCGCGGAAGCCCGTCGCTGCTTCGCTGCGCGCTGCCGCTCAGCTCCCAGCACCTCAGGGGAAGGTCTATGGCTTTGTCCCCATGGGCGATTCCAACCCCGACACCGAGGTGCTTCGACGGATTCGACGGACGGGCTCCGCATCCGGGAAGGAGGTGTCGGCACCTGGATTGGTGAGCAAGGTATATGTGGGTGAGATATTTCAAAGGACAGGGTCGTCAAGTGATCGATGTCGAGCTCAGAAAGGGCTCTTCCAGTGTCTTTGAATGATTTATTGTGGGCTGCAAAAGGACAAGGACTAGGACCCAAATCTGTGGTCTCTTATGTTTTACTTTTTGTTGCCCAGATCCAGCATCAACGTATCATCCTCCCCATTATCATTATCTAAAGCTGATGCAGCCTGGTTGCAACATGTAGCTGAACATGTCGTTCACAATATTTGAGGAACTTGCCAGTTGGCTGGTACGAGGAGTTTCTTGGGCTCCTGTTTTGAGGTGCACCCAGATGCTGGAAGCGGATGTTTTGCACTCCATCTCATCCTCGTTTTTGGATCAAGGCCCCTGAACCCATATTATGGGTCTCCCCTCATTGAAAATGTGTCACCGCTCGCCAGGGCTTCCGGTTTTGGAAGCAAGGCTATTGGAAGAGCCACTTGCAGGGCCTTCCGCCAGGGAAGCCCAGTATTTGGAGACAACCCAGCTTGGTAGCTTGAGGGTCCATTTCAGCCAAGGAATGGGGTTCAGAACCCTTCTGCCGGATGTAATTGAATCTCCAAAACATTCCAAAACCAATTCTTTAGACTTTAGACTCTATAGAACTCTAGAAATGTGTTTGTACAACTTCCGAACGGCATCCTCATCATGACATGAGTTTGTTTTGTAAGCTCCAAGCTGCATCCGAATGACCCATCCTCGCACCCATCCAAGCTCCGGCGTGGCAATTGAGAGAGAGAGAGAGACCCAAGGTATCACATCTCGGCGCTTTTTGTCGTGGACCTGTTGGAGGCGATGTGACTCCTTCAGAGGAAGAGGAGAAGACCAGGAGTCACATCTGTTCGGGCCTGGGTGGTTTGCCTCGTCCCATGCTCATCCGTTTGGCTCGCCCGTGGGATGCGATGTGACGACGGGGCACCGGCTGGCACCGGCACCCCGTCTTGTGTGACTCCTGATATGAAGGTTTTTAGAATAACTGTCCAGGGCTTTGTGGAATTTTGTTTCACGAATCAATTTTATGATCTTTAGGTAGGAAAATAGACACTGGAGTTGAAGCAATATGCTTTTCAAGGATGCATCCTGGCCTTCAGGGCCTTCATTGTCACAAAATTCAAAAGGGAATGCCCAAAAAGAATGCTTCGACATTGGACGCCCAGAGGTTGATTTGGTAGGTGTTCTGTAAGGGTGAATTGGCCGCCATTCACATCACTCGTTCTACAAGTAGCAATCCCTACAGCTTCATACAGCTTCACTGGGCGCTTCGCGATGCTTCTCGGCTCGGGTCTCCTTCCACGCGGCGCGCGACCGTCCACGTCCGGTGTGCGACCGGTGTGCAGTTCCGGCGGACTTCAACGGGAGAGACCTTGAGGGGCGTCTACAACCAGGTGCGACATGCGATGCTGGTGTGTGCGCGTGGGGAGCGGGAGCGGTGGGAGGTTCACTGGAAGTGTTTTCGGAGTGGAACGTGCTTCCTCCCTTAAAGGATCCAAAAGGGGTGGGACAAAAGAAAAACAAAAGCCAGCCCCAAGAAGAAGGTTAAGCAGAGGTCAAGTGTAAAGTGGCAACTAACAGAGAACATATAAATACCCTACAGGTCAATGATCTCATTTTACTTGACTTGGTCATACAAAAAACACTACTTAAGGAGCTAAAAGAGCAGGTTTTACTGGGTCAGACTGGACTTCTATAGGGCCGCCCTATAGGGGATACACTTTGTCCGGCTCTTGAGACTGGGTCTGGATGTTTGCAAGTACTTGTTCAGAGGGTAACCTGAATTTGATTTGGCTCTTGAGATCTCGCCACTTGTTCCACATCCAATGGTCTAGCTGTCGAGATCTCTGACTCGCTCGAGCGGAGCCATTGACTGGGCTGCTATGTTCCCTGATCTCGGCGCCAGTTGAGCAGAGACCCCAACTCCTTGGCGAACTTGGACCAGGAGAAGTCGATGGTCGGGGTGAGTTGTTGGCAGGGTTCATCGGATGGGTGGATGACTCATCGGAGATGAGGGCAGATGGGTGCCAAAGTCCTCTCGACCTGTTGAAGGGTTGAATCAAAGCGACGCACAGCAGCGCTCAACGCTAGCTGCTCAAAAAGATGTCTCAAACTGACATTGGCCTCCAAGGTCCTCCATTCACAGGATAATCAATAGATCAGTTCCATTGGAGGCATATGGAGGCCGGAGGCAGCCTCCAATATCACTTCACGTTCCTTTGTCTACGGATATTCTGAACTCCCGATCCGATCGCTCAACCGGCTCCGAGCTCGTTCCGACCAGCACGACCGTGTCGTTGTCCCGCCCTGGCCAGCAGCTGGGAGCTTTCACCACATGGAACGGACAGGACCTGCCCAACTTTGCACAGCACCAGGTGCCGATCTTCACCCTGTGAGGGGCGCCCAGAGGTGCTGGAGGAGTTTGCACAGAGCACTTTTTTGAGGCTACGTCGTCGATCAAATTCTGGAATGGGAGCTTCAATCAACACGATCAACAGTAAAGGCAGAGGGCACTAACCACGGTCTTTTCGGGTTGCATGTGCCTGTGCGGCGATCTCTTTTTATTTCAGCGACCTTGAGTTGAGCCGAGTGAATGTTCTGCCAGGTGTCGCTGAGGGGAATTCCTTGAAATTCATCGATCGGAGCAGATTGGGAAACATCCCTTCCAACATGTCGAGCAGGGTTGCAAGTTGGGGGTGGAATTCAAGCACCTAGTCCCAGTCCCTAGAAGGTTTGGAAGGTCTTCTGGTCGCCCAGGCCCACCGAATGGCTGTGGTGCGAAACCTGGTGCTCTCAGGACCTGCTAGGGCCGAGTTTGGTGCCGGCGAAACCTGCCTGTCGGAGGCTGAAGAGAAAGCTGTATGATGGAATGTTTGCTCAAATCCCCCTAAGGAAACGTGTTGTGCTACACTCCCTGCAACAAGCACGGAAATGGACACTCTCCCTTTGTTTGTAGAGGACAATTGTCTTTTCAGGGGCCTTGGTCCACTTCCATGATTGTTGCAGGGAGGGTAGTTGTTGAAAACCATCATCCAACGGCTGGCCGTTGAAGTGACAAGAGATAAGATATCGATGAATTAAAACGGGCAGCATTGCATATCCAGTTGATGTACAGATGTGCCATGTCCCATGTCCCAAAAGACAATGATGCCAATATATGCCGATATATGACATATAAAACCTGCATCTCTCACTTTTGTAAACCAACACACGTCTTTGGTGGGTGAGTTCTTGCAGGATGGTAATGGTGATGTACATGTGGTTGTTTTCGTCCTTTTTTCGGCCAAAAAACATGAGTGGAGAGGTTGAATCTGTCATCCATTCCATCCACCCCACCCCTTTGGGTTGTTCTCCTTGTTCTTTCAACTCACGGGTCCTGTCATAGATGTGTCTACCTCCCTGATCTCCTTCCTCGCACGTGTCGCGCGTCAACACGCAATCATCGGATGAAACCCAGTTCAACCATGTGAAGAACAGTGAAGACATCCGCCGAGGAGAGCAAGAAGTTAGCAAAGACCATTGATCTTTGTCAAAATCCTTTGACCAAGGACGGGTGTGTTTGGGCATCGGTTTTATGCGCCGGATGGCACTGGTCAGCTGGCACTGGTCAGCAGGTGGTGTCGCAGGTGTGAAGAGTTCCCTTTTCTCGATTCCAAAATGCAATACAATACATGTAATTCTTGAAGAAGCCGAGTTTCTTCTTATTATATAGAGTTCCTTCAGAAGGTCCTTCTTCCTTTTCTTCTTCTCCTCCTTCTTCTTCTTCTCTTGAGGTGACATCGCTTTCAACTATTCCTAGATATAGAAGTGATGCATAGTGATGCTGAGTGTAACAGTGATAACTAACTCAGTCTGGGAGATGATCCGTGATATGTGGTTTGCTGCCCGCAACCCGTGCGCCACAGCCCAGGAGCCGAAAATCGTCATGGCCAAGCGCATCATCTCGGAGTGGCAGACGTGCGGCCCCGAGTAGTCGCCGAGTAGTCACCGGTGGGTACCAAACGACGTGACCGGGGCATCCGGCCTTTTGAAACGATCAAGATGGAGAGGTCAGGCAGGTCATAGGCAGTACCCGCACCAAAGCCCACAACCAATGGGTTCCCGGATGGATGGATCATGATGGATCAGCGGTGTCCACCTCGAGCTGTACGTGTTTTGTTTGCTGCGGGAGCTGGCTGACACCAGTCGAGCACACGCATGCGCATGCGCAGCTCCTTTGCGGTTTTGCAGGTATCACAATGAGGTGCAAAGCCTGCAGGAGGAGCGCGAATCGCATGGAGCAGTACACCGACAGGACCTTAAGACCTTAGTGGACTATGGCCCCCCTGCTTGTAGAGGACAAGGATCTTTCCAGGGGCCATGCCGTCCACATAGCCATGATTGTTGCAGGGCAACACCCGTGTATATACATCCACATACATCTACCCTCTCAATCACAAGGATACTTGCAATATTGTTGCAAAATATAGTACATAATATGTTGCAACATTGGGTTCCCAGGGAAGTTGACCAGATTTCTAAAGCTACTCCACCCTCCCTGGCCCCTTGCATTTTTTGAGAATCTTCAAGAAGGATGATTTTGGGCTTTCTTTTCAATGACTTCGACCCAGACGATGATAGACATTCAAATGATTTCAAATGTAGAGCGTGCCCAGGGTACATGGCGAACCGAACCAGCTCATCTTGAGGAGCATGACGATGCATCCACCAGCATGCCGCCTGGAAAGGCAGGAGTGGAGTAGTCGAGTTGCATTTCCATGTTCATTTGACTGCGTAGGATGATAGGGAGACCCTGAGACCACTGCATTTTGGTGCCGTTTTCCCTCCCACTAAAAGGTTGAGGGTCTCCTATTTTAAGAGATGCCGAGATTTATCTATTTTTGCTGGCTGTCCAGCAAGGCTTGCACTACTTGCAGAAGACAAGCAAGTGTACTACCAAGTTGTTTCATTCATGTTCATATATGTTCATTTTTTTTCGTTCGCTGTCTTCAAAACACACTCACCCAAAAGCTTGTTTCCTTGTGAAGTCGCACACTCACCCCAAGTGCGTGCGGCCCCACGCGCTCGACTCGCCACTCGCGAGTTCGGCCCAGAAGTTCGGCCCGCAGCGCAGGTGGAGCTGTAGACGCTGCGATGGAGATCCAAACTTCCTTCGTTGGGCCGCCCAACGAATGTGGCAGCAGTGGCGGAGGGACGCTGCAGTGGCGCCAGGGCGCCAGTGCGCTGCCCTGACTAGCATGGAACAACTTGAAGTAAAGATGCAAGGATGTGAAAGTTCTTCTGCTTGTTTTGTTTTCCGCAGGACCGGCTTTCAGTCGTAGGCTCGCAGGCTCGTAGTTGTAGGCCAAAAGGACAGACTGACAACCCAAGTTGTTGTCCAAACAAAAATGCCCTTTTCGTCCATCCAGGCATGAACACACGGCATGAGACCTGTGATCATCTGAGAAAAACCATGATCCGCTTGAAGCGAATCACACTTGACCAAGCATGGACACCCATTACTGAGGACAACCATTACGTTAATCTACATGCAGAATAGTTGCCAGGATCGGCCAAAGGTAGGAGAAACGAAGCACACACACATATCATACATGATATGGAACTCATCCCATCTCATCCCTCAATTCCACCAGAATCTACAGCCAATGTCCTGGATTCCGTAGTCCAATGCCTGAAACCCTTGCTGTGTGCTTTGTGTACATTGTAGCGCATGTAGTCTTCCTGCTACGTCAAAAACGCGATCCTGGTTCGCCTTCTGATTTTGGCGAACCAGAGGAATTCTCTTTTTCGATATCTCGAGAATGTATGAGAGAGAAAGTATTCTTTTTCCATGGGAACAGACATACATTCTCAAGAGGACCTTTGATGTCGTCCAATGGGAACCTCATCCCCGATGGGCTGGGCTCCGCCATGGTCGCTCGCCCACGAGGAGACTCCGTGGAGTCCTTCCTCACCGCATGAGATCTGACTGGAGCGGTATGGAGAGACGAGACGAGTCGAAGATGTGAAAATGGTGGTATTTTGGAGGGGCAGGGTCAGTCCAAATGGTTGAAGATCCAAAATGCGTGCAGCTCCAGGGCCCAGAAGATGACCACCATCAAAAGGAGAATCCCTACATGTCTTGGGATGTATTTGCAACAGAAAAATGGGAGACTAGCCTGGTTCGGCAAGACGTTGCGTAGACCATGAGAAGCCCGCATCCCCCTTGGTTGTCGTATGTAGATGGCCGCAAGGGAGCCTAATTATGGAGGGTGGGTGCGCAGAAATGAAGCACTGAGATTCCTCACATGTTTGGCTGGCACAGCTGCTTCAAGCAACATTTAAAATTTGAACGCGAGGTGGTTCTGGTACCCATGGAGATCATTCGCGCAGATAGATGGAGAAAGAGAGACCGAGAAACCTCGCAGAAAACGGAGACTTGTGGGCTGGGTAGGAATGGGCGGAAAACGGAGATCCTGAAGGTTTTTTGTTCATATTATTTCCTCGATGGTTCCAGCGCTCGAGATGGAGGACAAACACATCACTCGTTAAATATACTGACCTATACTGACCATAAAAAACAATCAGTATGAGGCCTGGGACAAAGACCATTCCACTCATGACCAAAGAGTGTGAGGATTGGGACAGACCAACTTAAAATGGTGTTTGTGGATATTCAACCGGTCAGGGTTGATTACGGAACGTCGCGGCTTGCCGATCATGGGGTCAAGACCCTTGATGATTCAAGAAACAGATTCTGAGACGTGGATGGTTCGTGGAAACACGCCGCCGTTCGTCTCAGAGACATTAAAAAAACATGAAATCCAAGCTGAGCTTATGACGACTTGTGTTCTTATTGATGAAGAACTTGGGACTTTATACATGATTCTGGTTTTATAAGGTGGACATGTAGCGGAACGGGCTCTCCATGACACTCCAAGACATGAATGAATCCGGCAGCGGACACAAATTTCCCCGACAAGCTGACAAGCGACTTGATACTGTACTTGGTTCTGGAACTCTTAGTGGCCTAGACTGCCTAGACTAAGCAAACAAAGTATGACTGCAGAGGATGCTACGCTTTGCAGGGTTTTCCTTGGCTATAGAAGTCATCAATATTCCCAACTGCAAGGTTGGCAGTGAAACCAGCCCTAGACATGTTTGTTTGCACCAGAATAGGACGACATTGGCGACAGAAACACATTGCACACAAATCGCCAGCTGTGATGCTTTTGTCATGTCCTTGCCATCAGGCAGGTGTATGTACACTTTAGATGTGATACGGGGCATCAGTCAGGATGTGGTGCTTGGTATAGCTTTTAGGTCCAGGCCGAAGCTCCTTGTTCTGAGTTTTTAGGGCTTTTAGCCTACAGCAAAGAGCCTTATTCCCTCCAGAGTGGCTGGTTCGGCCTCAGACCCTTGGCATCCAAAGTCCAGTTTGTTTAAGTCATCGAAGTGGTTCTGCGATATCCTGCCCACTAACAGTCGATACACGATGTTGAGAATGGGATGGAAGGTCATCGTCCCCCAACAAGGATTGGAGGGAGAGAAGAGTACTCGCACAATTCCAGAACTGTTTGTTGAATCTACCAGTCGTCCTGTTTACGTTGACTACATTAAGAGCACTGAACTCCTGACTACCCTGACTACATGTGTCATCCGCATGCAGCCATTATTCGATGACATGGCATGATTGAATGCAACCATACCTCTTTTGTATTCTTCGATGCGCCGTTTGCAGCTAGTTTCAGGCATTTCTGGCCGGGCTTTCGGCCCGAAGAGGCACAGGTCTTTTCATTGCAGTAGATCTTTCCAACCAGCCTTTTGGTGTTTATCTTGGGACATTTGGCTCGAACTGTGCCCTCTGGAGTGGTGAAAGCACCGTCAATCACTTGCACGGCTGCCGTGATTGTCAGCAGCATCATGTTGGATCTTTTGGCTGCATGCCTATTGCGGCGTATCCATGCAGCAATTCATCCGACTTGGTTCTTTGCACACAGACTCCACGAAAAAGACAAAACTCAACCAGTGGTTTGTCGGAAAGTTGTTTTTACACCGACCCTTCCAGCCAAGGCTGCAGCCTGAGACCATTGGTTGAAACCTCCACAGCAGATGTGAATGCAGGGTGCTCAATTCTTGAACCTCCATGATTCCTCATGCATTGTTGCAATTCATGCAGATGTCGATACCAATAGGTGCGCTCACTTGTGGCTAAGGATCGCAATGCTACATGGCTCCTTGAAGCTCCTTGGACTTGACTTCCTCATAATTGGCTGCTGGTTCCATTCTTCAGGCTGTGTTTGATGTAGCACTACTTTGCATTGCCAAGGACACGACAGCAAGAGCGTTTCCAGTTAGCCGATGGGGTTGCTTTTTGGACATCCAAGCTCAGCCAATGATCCTTGGATGCACCTGGATCCTGGGAGTTTTCGACTTTTTTCAGCCACCGTTTTCGAGCTGTAACAGTGTGTGAGTTTGCCGAGTTGTTGGGGTCAAATAGATTACAAGTACTAATATAGTATATATTTAAATAAACAAAGTATATATTCCATGCCTTCAAGAGTTATTATTGGGGGCCATTAAAATTGACTTACTATACTGTAATAATTGTTTGGACAAACATATTTCATCAATTTTCATCATATTTTGATATGTTAACATGATCTCTGTTCGACCCTCAACGTGTTGCGGTACTGCCGGTGGTTTTTATCGGTTCCATTCAAAAGCATCGGAACACACCACTTTACCATGATTGGTGTTTGTCTCCAATCAATTAACGTATAGCAGGGACACCCCAGCATGAACCCTTTCTATTCTGTATCACACTGTTGCTAATTCCGTTGTGTGCTCAGCAGAACTTTGACGCTAAACGAATCATCCAAGGCCGCAAGCAACTGCAGCTGCAACGATGTGATGAACCACACGCGCACGTCAGCCCAGTCAGCCAATCCAGTTCGCACTGCTAAGCTTCATGAAGCTGCGACGTTTTTGACATTCTCCCAGCTACGATGAACACCTGAAGTTGATCCTGCAGGGATCGCGCGCCTGAGTGTGAATTATAATGTGGAACACGTTACGATATGTCTTTTTGTGCGCGCTTTATGTGAGCTGCTTTCGGTAAAGCTTTTGCGGCTGTAATCTTGGCAAGATATATGTTGTACATGCTTGGTTCATGTGGTTGCATTGCTTGTTGGAACGACATTGTTCCCGAATGCGTAGCGAAGGGTTCTCGTTCAACTCTGGGGGTCATGGGGGTAGACTGTTCGCGACTTTGTCGCAGCGACCGCAACTGTCTGCAACCGTCCCCATGTGATTGCAACCGTTCGCAGTAGGGCGCTATGGCGCTGACATTGGGCGAAGCTTTTGGAGAGGGTTTTGGTTGGAAGCATGACGTGTCAGATTCGTGTGAAATAGCGAGGAAGCGTGTGGAAACGTAATATGTCGAAGTGTGGAGAATGAGTTCACTGCGCAGGTGCAGCGTTTTGTGTCAGTATTCTTTCGCAGTCAGATTGGGATTGGCCTTTAGACGGCTGTGCTTCTGGGGTGTTGGATGTAGCTGTGACGTTGGGATTTGCGTTTCAGACTGTTGCTTCGAAGCTGTGCTTTCGTGACAGGTCTCACCCAAAAGGGCGAGCTTGGTGGATGGGAGTGTGCCAAGAACGTGTCGAATTCATTCCAACCGTGTGGTCGTGCAAGCTACGTCGTCACTGTTCGTGGCAGGCACGCTACTTTGTGCGCACTGGAAGTTGAATTTTCGTGGCAGGCGCAAGGAAGCGTGAGGTTGCGATGTTTGGTGGAGGTCAGTGTCGCTGTGACATTGGGATTCGCGTGTCAGCGGCTGTGGGGCTGGGATTGCGAAACTGCTTGGCAGGGCTGCAGAATGTGTTGTCTCTGACGTCGCTCGGCTTGGAGACTTTGACGCTGACTTTTGGAGGAAGTCTCTTATATGAAACGCTCGTTTTGCACACTTGGCGGAGTCTTGGAGGACGTCGTTGTGAGTTAAGTCTCGAACAAGAGGCTCATTTTGCGGACTTGCCCTGACTTGTTGGGGGAACCTCTAAGATGAGGTTACGCAGAACCCTGACTACTATAATATCTTGTTTCCAGACTATTAAACAAAAGACTATTTAGTTAAAGTATTTGGGA